AGTATAAGTTAAGCGGAAATGCATCTACCGCCTTTCTTGGTTGAGTACGAGGTATAATCAGACTAAGAGCTGGCTGGCAAAGCAAACAGAACAATGCCGAATGGATGGGCAGGCAAAATAATGTCAATAGGAAACGATTTAGTTCACGTTGAGGGCGCTTTCCACACACATGCACATGTATACACATACACACACACACAGCAGCCGGAGACAACAAAATATTTGGTGGTATTCAAAATTGTTATTTTGACAATTGGCAGCGCTGGACGCCAGCATTGAGCATCATCTTGTTTGTGCTCTGACCAACAGAGAAAGGGAGATATATATGAGAGAGAGAGAGAGAGAGAGAGAGAGAGAGAGAGAGATAGAGGCCCTTAACCTAGGCTTCATAGCTGCAGCTGACGACCATACGATGGCTGGCCAAGATTGTACCACAAAAATGTCAAAAGGAAAACGAAATAATAATTTAAATAAGTCTGGGAAAATGTAAATGTAAATGCCTTGGGCCGTAGCTAAGGTCGAATGCAAATGAATACATTTATATATGGGGCTGTACGAATACAGAATACGAATATGCGAATAAGGGGAGTATACGAATGGATAAGTGAAATATTTACTATTCTGTATGTTATCCTGTTCCAGAAATATATATTCATTAATTAAGACAAGGGCTTGCCCCTACCTGGGCTGATGCTTTCATAAAGAAGGCATTTGCGGCAACAGCAATTAATTAACCCCATTTAGAGACGAGACAATGTTTAAAGGACTAAACGAACTGACAATTGGACAATTGGACAACTGGACAACAACAACGACAGCGCAATTAGGAGCAAGGGGGCGGTGCACGGGACATAAATACCTAAATGCGAACGATGCCACGCTCAAAGATCACTAATTGTAATTTAATTTCCAATTAGCAAACAAACTAATGCCAATTTAGAAACGGCAACAAGCTTCCAGACGACGCCGACTGCTGCTGTAAGTGGAGTTAAACGACACGTAGTTGAAAATGGCAGCAGACTGCCAGCAGGCGGTGCCGGGTGGGCGGGAGGATGGTAGGAGGAGACTGTGGCAGGTTACTGGGATGGTTCACTGACATTCAATAGCTAAACTGTGCCCTCTATCTCTCTATCTCTATCTCGGCGACTATTTGTGTGTGTGTGTGTGTGCGTAGACCAAATTATGCGCCTGACTACATCGAAAAGTTAAACATGCTGAACATGTCGTTGTCCAGTGGCCCGCCCACACCATTGCATTGCCCTGCTGCTTACCATCCTGAACATCCTCAACATCATCATCAACATCACTATCATCATCATCACCTATTGTTTCAGCAGCTGTAGTAATGCAATCTTCTCTGTCTGCTTTCTCTCTTTCCATCTTCTGGTTTTACCTTGCAGCCCGTGGGCATCTATCTAAAGAAATACGAATGGGCACGTCCCTTGGGCGGAAATGGCGCCTTACATCTGGATCTGCATCCGCCCCCGCCCAGCGGCGGCGACTGCTCCCTGTGGATACGCTCGGCCACCTTGGACTTTGACGACGGCCTCTGGGAGTGCCAAGTGACCGCCAGTGATTTTACCGCACAAGATGCTTTGACCAGTCAACCGGTGCGATTGGTTGTACGTGGTGAGTGTTAATCCACCAGCTCAAGTCAGTGTCTTGCAACGTAACGTATGATTAATATTTGGGCTGCCGCCCGAATCAACTGGTGAAACTGGTGCAATGCATATGCGTCCTTTTATAGCGAATTGGTAAATATTATAGTCAGGTATCTAAAAGAGGTCTTGTAATACGTGAAGAAGGTATGGTATTATATGACCAATGTGTTAGTAATACAAAGCAAATAAACTCTAGTTCTGGGTTTCTGGCAAGTAAATAATAGGATCTTCAACATGTTTTTTTCACTTTTGAAAAAATACTCCTGCAACAGCTGGGTTTCGCTGTCATTTGGAAATCAATTTCTTGAATATCTTCTGTTTCACTTAATGGATTTCAATTAAATTTTCAGCATGCGATAGTCCTGAATACTTATCAGTTAAGGAAAAATAAAAACTTCTGTCTATATATTTAATCAAACTGCAAACAATGAGAACCTAGTTCAATGAGAACCTAGTTCTCTTCAAATTCAAGGCCTGTAACATTTAAAATTGGTTTTAGTGAGACGGAAATTTTTATATATTATATTATTTTTATATTAAGCTTGATCCATGCGGGCTATAGGGTCGGGCCTACCAAAAAACAGTGTACCTCTTATAGGCCCTCAGCTCACCGTATTTGTACAAAATAACGGACGAGACTCAGACTGGCATATGGACATTTTTAGATTACAGAAGGAATAAACATATGTAGATAATCATTTTGTCTGTTCAGGCATACATATATATATGTAGAGGAAAATAACTCTATGATGTCGATGATGACATAAAGTATCTATAGTATATTTTATCGTGTCATATAACTAAAGGTAACTGCCACTGGAAAAGTATATTATCATGAGAATAAAGGAATATGCATTAACCGCTTTTGAATAGGGTTCAAGTGTGACGCAAGCTAGGGGATTCAATTAAATTATTCTTAGTCAGTGCTGCTCGTAGTGCTGACATTTATTGCTGACCGCCCGAGCCGTATTAGTAATCTGTGTTTGACTTCTTTCCCCCCCTCTCTCACTTTCTTCACACACATTCAGTGGCGCCGCAACGCCCGCGTCTGGAGTTCGAAAGCGCTCCATTGCCGCCGGGACACAACATTACGGTGGACGCTGGCGCCGTGGCGACTGTGAAATGTGCCTCGCATTATGGTAATCCGCCTGCAACGCTCAAATGGTATTTGGGTAAGTGTCACTGCTGCGTGTTATCCATTGATTGCACTTGTTATCCTGGCTGGGGGGCTCGCAGGCTAGCTGGCTAGATGCCTGTGACATTGTCATGTTAATTAATTTCAACGATTTGCTCTCCCCCTCGCTCTCTCTCTCTCTCTCCCTCTTTCCAAATCTCTCTCAACAGGCGACCAGGAAATCTCGCCCATGCACCCGCAGCTGAATGCCACCGAGCCCGATAATCCACGCACCTGGTCAGCCACCTCGGTGGTGCAGGTGTCCGCGATGCGCGAACGCCACGGCGACATTCTGCGCTGCGTGGCCTTCCACGAGAACTACGAGGCCAAATCGGTGCCAGTGGAGGCCCGCCTAGATGTCAAGTGTAAGTGGCAAAACCAAATGAGACAAACGCAAAAAAAAAATAAATAAATAAATAAGTAACTCGAGCATGGCTAGACGATGTATGTGCTGTTCCTTGAGCGAGCTGATTGCATTTAGCTGCGTTTGGCTTAAAGTCAGAAAAAGTTAAAAGACATTGCAAACAGCTGTAACAATTCAATTAGCCACAATTTGCTGCAATTTCCTGTTTTGTTAAGCAATTCAAGATTTTGGCCCCAAGACGGACGAGCACAAGGACAACTGTCGAAGTTGGTCGCTTGTTGTTGACTTGTTTTGCTTACTCAACATCTCTCGCTCTCTCTATCTCACTCTCTCTCTCTCTTTGTGTCTGTCTAACCCGCTCTTCTTGTGCTTGTGCACTTTGCAGATGCGCCAACCATTCGTCTAATTGGCTCGCCGGAAATCGACTTGGAAGAGGATAAGGATGCGCTTGTGCTGCGTTGCGTGGCCGATGCCAATCCGCCGGCCAGCATCGTCTGGCGACGTGCCGGACGCTCCGAGATAGCCAGCTTGCAGGTAAGTCTGTCCAGTCTCCCTCCTTCTCCTTGCCTCTCTCTCCCTCTCTTTCTCCTTGTGCCTTTCACCCCATCTAACGGCATCCTGGCAGGCAGACTCCTTGCCAGCTTGTTGTTTATGTTGCTACGGAATTTCGACGTCGCTCGCCGTATTTATCTTAAGTGTAGCAGAAATTTGTAATTGTATTAAATTGCTAACTCTCTCCTTCGGGCCGCTTCGGCCGCTTCGTTTAGGAAACGCTGCAATTGCGTCCTGTCGGACGGCGAGACGCCGGACTGTACACCTGCCAGGCGCAGAACTCGGTGGGCACCTCGGAGCAGCTGTCGGTGCAACTGGACGTGAAATGTGAGTCCCTTTCAGTATTTATCTTGGCCGCGTTTGCTGCTCTGCTAACTTTTGCTTAATTTTGTATTGACGCTCGCTTCCTCTGTTTACTCTGCCACAGATCCACCGAAAATTATTTCAGCCGGCCCGGACCGCCTCACCACAGCACCGCTCTTCAGCCCCGCCGCCTTCGAGTGCGTCGCCGATGGCAATCCCATGCCAGCCTACAAATGGGTCCAGAGGTGAGTCCCCTTTACCCTAACCCCATTCAGACCACTCGCATTTCCCTGCTGCATACTTTTGGGTGTCGCGCCTCTCACGCAGCTGTCGTGCACGAAGTCTGCGCACTCTGCGCCAAGAATGCCCGCCTCCTGCTACCCCCCGTGGATTTAATTCGTGCTTTATGTGCGTTATATCTGCGCACTATACAAATAAAACATTAATATGCCATTGCTTCATTAATCTTCAGCAGCTTGTTGACACGGCTCACACGGCGTATAAGTAATGTAGCACTCAAAGGCAACTGCAAATAGCAATGTGTTGCACTCGGATATATTGGTTTGAACTTATTTATTTGAAGAGAACATGAATTTCCCTGCATGTGTGAACTGAAAGCAGCTTCCATGAATAATGACATGTCATACTATCATCATAAGGATGGTATAACTCTATTCTAACCACCGGACATGAATATTAGCTTCAGTATGATCTGAGCCAAAGCTCTAAATCAACTTCCTGGAAAATCAACTAGTTATTTGTAGTAGGCGCTAGTTATTATAAGCCGTATAAAAACAGGTAGAAGAAGAGTCACAACATTGTCATCGAACAGAGCAGGTCATGTCGAAGAAGTAGGAAAGTTGAAAAGATATTGTTGAAAGTCATTCGCAAGAAAGTTAAAAATAAGACCACAACAGGATGATTCGCGTTCATGATTTTGATAGGTTAAGTGCAACTATATTATAATATACATAATAGAGTTTTTAAATTTATTATAATGCAAGAATATATATATTCGTTCAATTGTTATTTCCCTGCAAATTTTATTTTTTCAGTTTTTGTGCCTATTATTTTTTACCTCAGGTTTATAAATACCATTTAATATTTTTTTAACGTGCGACATTTTATTATTATTGCGATTTCTTCAATGCTATTAATGATGATTTATTTGTAATCCAAAAAAAAGAGAAACTCCTAAGCTTCAATATTTCATTCGGGCACTCAACAACAATTCATAAATAAAGTTTTGATGGCTTAGTAGTTAATAAAAAAGAGGAATTGATTGAGTCATAGCCAAAACAAAAAGCATGGACCAAGTGAAAGCATATCGAGATCCAAATTTAAAATACCAACATTTGAATTAATATATTTTTTTAAAATGTTTTTATTTAAAAAACTCAGATAATGCTGTCGCAAATAATAAATAATAAATTCACAAATAGGGAAAAAACAGCCAACAGCTTAGAAGGAGTTCATACAGTGTTGGTTTCATTAGAATATGATAATAAACTAGAATTGAAATAAGAAAATAAAATTTCCTGTATGCGGGTGAGCTTCCTGTGGATGCAGTGGCAGTGGCAGCAGGAGTTGCTGCTGCAGCAGATGCCGTTAATGCGCACAACTCTGGGGTCACGCCCGACATTTTTTTCAGTTGAAGTTTGCGTCATTTAATTAGCTGCACAGCGGAAATTGTGCACAAAATGAGAGAGTGCAGGAGCAATGAGGGGCAAAGCCAGCCAGTGCAGAGTGGACAACGAGTCAAAGCGAGTCCTCTTCAACGTTATCTAACCCTCTTTTAACTGACTGGAATTCAAGTAATATGCTTATTTATTTTTATTAAAATAAATCCCACAATTTGTGAATTAGATTCGGGTACAAATTAAATGGTGCCAATTCAGCTGAGAAATTAAATAGATTAGCTATTTACTCTTGATACGACTTCAAGTTCGACAGCCACAACTTGCCTTACATGGATCACTAATGCATCCTTTGGTAATCCTGTAAATGAAGGAGGCTAACACATTCCCACGGCAATACAGCTACACAGCTTTCGTCTTCTTCGTTTTATAACAACATTTTTTAATTAGCAATTTTGTGCTGCTTTCTATGGCATTTTCTCCCTTCTCCCTCTTCGCTACATCTCCGACAGGGGGCAGCCGCAATTTACTGTGGCCGACTTCTGTGCAGCTTCCTGCTGCAGCGCTCGGGTACATTAATATGCAAAGCAGTGGCACACTCTTCCGTCCGTTTGTCCATTCAACAGGCAGCAGCTCGTCATGTTGGAAAAATCGAAATAGTCCACATCACGTGCAGCACCCCCATCTCTCTCTCTCTCTCTCTCTCTCTCTCTTTCTCTCTCTCTTTCTCTCTCTTTCTCTCTGTGTGTCTCTCTGTCTCACTCTCTTGTCGTGTTGCTGCATGCCACAAAGTCAAACTCGGAGCTCTCAGATCAGACGCCGACAAGCAGCCCGTACGTGATTTCAGATTCCATTTGTTTGTATTTGCCCCTGCAGCTACTCATACGACATATGAATGCCTCAGCAGGAGACGGTGTGTGCGACTGTGTGTGGGAGGGGGCTCTGCTTAAGCAGGTTCGCCAGCGCGTCAAATTCTAATATCAAATGCCACATGCAACGCGCTGGCGTGTTGACTTAATGAAGCGTGCCCGCGCGTGTTTATCAGAAATTAAATGTCAATTGTTGAAAACTAATTTCCACGCTCGTCTCGCCGCCCCCTCTCCTGCCTCCTGTACCAAAGACACATTAAATGGCGCGTGCCAAGCAAAACCAGCAAGGAGCACTGTATCTGTGTCTGTGTGTGTGTGTGTGTGTGTGTGTGTGTGCGATAAATCAATGAGGTGCGCTGTTGACAGGCTACCTATGCCTCTGAGGTGGCTGGCATGCCGAAGGCGCCTCGACCGCTGGCCAACAGCCAGGAGCCAACAGGGAACCACCGGCATGCAAATGCAACCACACAACTGCCCGCCACTCGGCCACTGGGAGAATGTATTTGCTAAAGGAAAAGTCCCCGGGGGAGGCATAGGAAAGGCATGTCACTTTGATTTACGTGAAAATTTCAACGGCGAGCCCCGCTGAATGGGAGAAGCAGCGAGCGCTTTGTGCCTCGCATTTTTCCATCGAATTTTTGCGACTTCATTTGTGTGTGCTGCTGGATTTGCATTTAAATGGCTTTCAAATTTATTGCTTCTAATTGCGACGAGTGTGGCTCGCTGCCCCACCGCACCGCAGCAACACTGTCCCGCCTCAAAAGCCGCTTTAATTGGCGCTTTAAGCTGGCGACACACGCTACCCATGCAGAGAGCATCGAGCCAAGCTCAACTATGCGCACATATCAAAGGAATTTGTCTGTGTCCCCGCACCGATGGGGCCGAAAGCTGTGGCCAAAATCAGTATGGATGGCTCTGGAGCTGTGGTGCTGTGCAGCTGTGAAGCTGTGGAGCTCTGTCGATGCTGAGCTGAAAGCATTTCGCAGCATAAAAGGCATTTCTCATATTAAAAAATGTATCAAATATTTTTTGCTTGCAACGAAGAGCAACAAAAATATTTCGCCCACAAACGCAATTTTCAATATTGCTGTACAAAACTTGCAGCAGCAGTTGCCCCTCTGACTTTCAACCTCTGACCTACCCGCGCCGCCCCAAAACCCGCCACCGCCGATCCCCTTTTCAGCTGCAATGTGGCTGCTGCATTTTTCCAAAATGATTTGCAGCTCAAAAAGCTGACAGTAAGAGAAACGAGAGTATAAAAATATGTGCGTGGCAGACCAAGGCGAAGCAACGTCTTTGCCCCACCTCCCTCCTCTCCCTTGTGCTTTACCTTCTCTATTGATCAGCTTTTTCACAGACATTTCCTCGATTTCCACTTGCAGAATCTCGCATGGATCGAAGTACGTGGAGCGGGGCAATGAGCCGCGCCTGGTCATCGACAACGTCACCTACGAGTACCAGGGCGAATACGAGTGCCGCGCCACCAGCTACATCAATGGCCAGGAGCGGGTGGCCATATCCGATCCCGTCTCCCTGCAAGTTGTGGGTAAGTGCTCCAGCATACACAAATCTCCTTTTTACCCACACATGTTGCTGTCGAACAGCCGCAAAGCCGCAATACCGCAAAATACTACGAACAGGCACAACTGTCGCCTGCCCCAGAAAAAGTGCTGTGCAAACTACATATATGAGAGTTCCTGAAAACTGAGCTACGACTTGCCGAGCAACTGTTGGCTAAGCTGATGGCCAATGATAACGGCATCGACTATCAATAAAGGAGCACAACAAAAAATCACAATACCTTAGCTACGTAGAAGATTCAATACTCTTAAAATTTTAAAATTTGATCATCAATTATATTTTAGATTTTTCTCAGTGTATATTTTAGAAATTTAACGTGAAAATATTTGTTTAAGTCGGATAGAAAAGCTCAACTTTTAAGGAATGAGTACAATTAGTACACATTGGATACTTTGTTCTGTTTGGTTCGCCTTTCTATTGTACGTTTTCTGCTACTGAAATATCGTCAGCAGAGTTTATAATTTTCAATATAAAAAATAATAGTTTTTCTTGAGCTTTTTAGTATCGATAATATTCTCTAAAGATAATATTATTCGTCTTTCCGTAATACTTTGTGGTCTACCTAATAAATTTGGTGACCCTGGTTGCCAAAATATATAAAAGATTCACTATTGTACTGGGGTTGCGCCATTATGCTGACCAATTCAATATTATTCTCTTGTTTTTTATAGGCTCTAAAATAATTTAATTGATACAAAGTGAATTTGATAAATATAAAAAAAAAATAATAGTGTTCAATTAAAATCAACAAGGAATTGAGACCGAGTACTTTGAAAATTAACACAGAATGTTCCATCCATATAGATCTTAGTGTTAATATGTTTCTAAAAATTTGAGTCTTCAATATATATTACCGATCCATGAAATTCTCATGAATTTATGTATTCTACATATACATACAAGTGTATTTTTATATATTTGTATGTTAATAGTAAGTACAAAAGGATTAAAATTGGCCTTATTGACAACCATGTCTTTATGAGAAGAATAAAATTGAAGTACTCGCTATGTGGTTTAAATAAAATTTAACTACTCGCTTTTTAAGAAAATACGAGCAACAATAAATTGCAATAGGAGGAAAAAAGAAAACCAATGGCCAGTTGTAAATTTACAACCACGTTAAAAGCAACAACTCGGCGTGTGCCCCATGTGAGCAAAGTTAGTTGGCTCGCTAGTTTGTTACCCCTATCTCTATCTCTCTCTTTATCTAGTTGTCCCTTTTTGCTGTTGCACATCTTCGTCGCGTACTCTCCGTGCAACTAATGCTCACTTAAAATAACACAAAACTCCATTAAAAACTGCAACCGGAAAACGCGTTGAAACCGTTTTAAGCGCCTGCGATTTGGCCAATGCCCCCACTATCCTCTATCGCCCCTTTCTCCCTCTCTCTCTCTCACTCTCTCTCTCTGTCTCCCCCACTTCTTTTTGCCGGTCGGAAGCTTCTCCCGGCCTCAATTTTAGGCTGCAGGCGCCGTCGGTCTAACTGCAAGCGGCAACTGGCGCTGGCAACAGACTAAACCAAAATGTAACACAAAATCAAAATGAACTTATGACCACAAGCATAAAAAGCGAAAAAAGTGTAGAGTAAAAAAGTCTAGGGTATAAAAATGCAGACAAAAAAATGAAGAACGCTGAAGCGCGGCAAAATAGAACAACAGCCATGGCCAACACAGCCGCGAGCAAGCGTCGAGTAGCAAAAAAAGACAAAAAAAAAGCAGAAAAAAAAACAGAAAAAAAAACAAAACAAAATAGAGAGACAAACAGTCAGTGAGAAAGCGAGAGCGAGAGAGAGGGAGGCGATGGGTGGGGGAAACATATATATTTAAATTTAGTGCTGAATACCACAGCACGTACATAATTTATGACCAACCAAGGACACGAGCAATTTAGCAGAGCCAGCCAGGAAAAAAGTGCTATATCCTTTATATGTCTGTGGCAAAAAAAAATCGGAGCTGTGTCCACGCTCACTGCATACACATATAAGAACACATACTTGACTGTGTGTGTGTATGGAAAGTAACTAACGAACTAGTTAACTGACAACAGCTAAAAAATAAATTGAAAAAAAAGACAAGCTCATTATGTGCAGCTGCGCACTCACGACTTTCAAAAACCCTGCAGGCCGCAAAGTTTGTCAAAATTTCGAACTGCCCAGAGACATTTAAAATTCGCTTAGTCTC